TTAGGTAGGACCGCCTTGTACCGCGTGGCTAGGCGTAATGTCAGCGCCAACGGAGGAAGACCCATCCCGTTCGCGACATGGTGCATCGGACTGGGGTTAGGCGTGTGGTAACACACGTCTAGCCTTAGCGATCGAACCTTGTTGCGCTGATGGGCGACCTAGGAAACCAGCCATCACACAGACGCGCCAACGGAACGGCTCGCATAATCCGGGTGCTAACAGTGTCACCGCGAAGGGAGTGCAAAGGGGCCTATCTTACCAACCTAGTGGCTCTGTGTGGATCATGGAACCTGGAGTGGCACCAGCCGCCATGTGAAGCACACGGCCTACTCATGAGACTAGGGAGCGGGAGAATTACCCTGCTAAGGTCAACGCTTGTAGGCATGGGAAGACCTCGCCTTGGCTTTAGACCGCAGCTCCGGTCCGTCGGGCCCATCAGGTTGGCCCTCGACTTGTCCTCAGATTAGCCGGTCGTTCCGCAAAGCCGCCTGGGTGAGAACCCGGGCGACCGAAGTCGCACATCAGGGGGTGCGATGTAACTTTACCCACAGAGTCAAGTCAGGAGGCTCCTGGCCAGAGCTATCCTCGCGGCACTGCGTTCATTTACCTTCTCCCATTTTAGATTTGGGTTTGACAGTCACTACCTCCTGTCGCAGCAAACAATCATGTCAACGATCAGTGCGTGCAAATCCAAGCTAACGAAGGCCCATACGGCATTAGAAGCAATTAAAGGTAAGATACCGCAGGATCTGATCAATCCGCGTACGAGTGAATTGCTTCCGCTGGCCGACGAGTGCCAGCTCCTTGACCGCCGTCAAGAAGCGCTCAAGGCACATTTGTCGAACATCCGTGCAGCGCTTAGTGCCGTAAGAGAGAAACAGCAAGCCTTCTCAGCCGCAAATACTAGTTCTAACAACCCGGTAGATAACACAATTTACTTAGATTATATGCAAGATTCTAAATTGGAAGATGCGATCGTTACTGCGGAGAGTTTAATCCAGACCCTCCAGACCAACTTGGAGGAGGCCGCTACGCGGCACGAGACCCTTCGCACGAGGTTACTAAATATTCAGCAGGATGACGACGCAAGACCATCGCAGGAGATGCCGGAGGACGTAGCTCGTTACGAGACCATCGAGCATTCGACGCAGATCCATCCTACTCGGTTCTCTCCTAGGGAAACGCCTCCGCAAGGCACGACGGACACAGGTTCCACCACGTTCGCCAATCAGCAGACGTCGCAGTATCCAGCGATCCAGCTAGGGAAGCTCGTTCTCGAGCCCTTCTCGGGTGATATCACGCAATTCCAACGATTTTGACGTGCGTTTGAGGTCGCAATCCACAACGAAACTACCATCAGTTCCACCTATAAGTTCCTCTATCTACAGGGGTTACTTAAGGGCGAAGCGCAGATTGTACTCCAGGATCTCGACCCTGATGAGTGCAATTACTACGAGTTGGTAAAGGCACTCAAAAAGCGTTATGATCGGCCGCATAAGACCCGCGCGATGCTGCACAAGCAGCTACAACAACTACCGCAAGCAGGCCAGTCGGGAGTAGACCTTCGCACTACTTGGTTGCGCATTTCGGGTATTCTTCGTGGTCTACGCAAACACGAAGACTTTCGCACTGTCCTTCCGATACTCGACTTGGTTCGCAGTAAATTCCCTACTGCCATTCAACAGAAGCTCCACGATGTCGAATTCCAGTCTGGAACGGATTTCGACCTCCATCAGATCATGCACCATCTTGATCATATCATCGCTTCGAGGGAAAAGCATGAGGACACGACTACGCTGAAAGACAGTTATTCCATCCATAGCTCTCATCGTAGTCGCGAAAGATCAGGATCACGTTCACATTCCCCGGTTTACCATCAACCAAGTTGCGCCTTTTGTGGATCACGTTCCCATAAAACACGCGCATGTACGTCTTCTATGCCAGTAGAAACTCGCATCAACATCGCGAGATCGTCGAATCTTTGCTGGAGATGTTTGGGCCAAGGTCATTCTCGACACCATTGTCGCCGTTCACCGTGCAGACGCTGCTCGGGCGATCACGCTGAACTTCTGTGTAGACATCGTCCACGAGAAGAACGCAGACGATACAGTCCACGTCGGCACGATACTCATAGGTCGCGCAGACACGACTATGATCGCAACAGGCGGAATTACCGCTCATCGTCGTGGGACAGATACCCGTCTAGAAGTCCATCTTATGACGGACGCAGAAGCAGAAGCTATTCCAACAGTGAGCGCTCGAGGTCCGCGTCTTGGGATGATCGTCGTCGAGACTATAGATCACGGGCTTACTCTCCGACAAGGCGTTATAGTCACTCACCCAACCGGGTTCACTTCCGTTCGTCACGCAGAGACCGCAGTTACTATAGCCCCGTAAGGGACACGCAGGCAGGTCGCCGTGCAAGTTCTCCGTACCCCAATGCCTACCGACACCAGGCACAGGATTCCGATGAGGAGTTAGAGCAACTTATGCAGTGTCTTCATTCGCGTAACATCAGGTGCGCCGCAGCTCCAACAGCTCTAATGCTCGTTGACGCTGAAGCATATAGCCGCAAAAATGGAACACTTGAAAAAGTTGTTTTACTCCGAGACTCAATAGCTCAAAATAGCTTCATTACTAGTAGTACCGCGCAAAATCTAGGTCTACTTATATATAATGAAAAAGAACGCACATTCTTCCCTTTGGAGGTCCCGAGACCACAGAGGTAACGGGCCTAGCAGACGTTGACTTAATTGATATATCCGGTCGCATATTCACACTTCATGTAACTACTAAAGACACCATCACGCGACCGCAAAATCTTCCTACACTCTCAAGCGCAGATATCGAGTTTATCAAGGGATGTCGTTTGCGTATTCCTCTCAATAATGTATCGCATCCGGTATTGCCGGACACACTCGTGGGAATCGACAATTATTGGGACGTGCTCTTACGGGAACCCCCGATATGTCTACCCTCGGGTATGGTCCTGACACATACCAGGTTTGGTACAGTCGTGTCGGGCAATTCGGTTTTTCACTTGGGATACCGCAGAGCCCAGACACCGACGAAGTCCATACAACATTCGACGCAGAAGAGGAAGCCGCACAACGCCTTTGGTCACTCGATTCTTTAGGTATCACTGACAATCATGATCCAAAAGGGGACGACGAGCTCAATGCTCGTATTCTTGACAACTTTTATAAGTCTTCTAAGTTTATTGACGGTTTTCTTTATGTTCAATTTCCTTGGAAATCCTCGCATCCACCTTTGGCAGACAATAAGCAGTTGGCGTATTGTCGTCTTGTAAGCCAGTACCAGCGTCTTCGACGTACTCCATCGGCATGGAAACAGTACATCGCAGCTATTGAAGACCATCTCAAAGCCGGTTTCATCGAAGAAGTCGATGAACGCGCTGTTAACACCTATCGCGTTTACTATATTCCGCATCAGGCAGTCTATAAGGAGTCCTCCTCTACCACGAAGTTGCGCATCGTTTTCGATGCGTCATCGAAAGTCAGAGGAGCGGTCAGTCTTAACGACTGTATCCATCAAGGGCCTACCTTGTTGCCGGATTTAGTTGGTATCCTTCTTCGCATTCGTCTCTACCGGTTTCTGTTGATCGCAGACGTTGAGAAAGCTTTCCATCAGATCCGTCTTCAACGATCACAGCGCGATGCTACACGTTTTCTTTGGCTTAAAGATCCGTACAGTCCGCCATCGCACGACAATCTTCGCATATTCCGGTTTACGCGCATTCCTTTCGGAATCAACGCTTCTCCGTTTATGCTCGCAGCTGCCATACAGTACTACCTACGTCATCTTCGTAGTCCGCTTGCTAGCGAGATCGAACGTAATACCTACNCTTGGGTTACTCACACCGTTCCTCACCAACGTTAAGATCTTCGTGCAGGACCTCTGGGCCAAGCAACTGGCTTGGGATGACCCATTGGACGCATCAGATCGACAACGATGGTCAGAATTGCGCGAAGAACTCAAAAGTCCTCTTCCAACAATACCTAGGCTAGTCGTCTCGAGGAAAGCAACATCTGATTCCTCCGAGTTATGCGTCTTTGGAGACGCTTCCAAACGTGTCTATGCTTGCTGCGCATATCTTCTTTGTCGGTCACAGTCTGCCTCGTCATCGCGTCTCGTTATGGCGAAGTCGCACCTCAACGACTTCAAGCCTATAACGATACCGCGATCAGAACTTCTCGCAGTACACATCAGTGTCCGCCTTGCGCAGTACGTCGTTAACCAGTTGGACATTAACATCTCGTCCGTATACGTCTTTTCCGATTCGCAGATAGCCCTACATTGGATACACTCTTCTCGACAGTTTAAGACCTTTGTCCAAAATAGGGTTAAGGCTATTAAGGACATCGTAGCGTCTTTTCGGCAACGTAACATCACCACTAAGTTCCACTATGTCGCATCGCAGGATAACCTTGCAGATTGCGCTACACGTGGTTTGTCGACGAAAGACTCGCAAGGTCATATTTGGTGGTCAGGTCCATCATTTTTACTTTCGCCGCCATCTCAATAGCCTACTACGTCCGACTTTTCGCTACCTCCCGGCAACGAAAAGGACTGCGAATCTGAGTATCAGGCAGCGCATATTGCGCAAACTTCGAATTTCGTTTCTGTTTTACCGTTTTATCGCACTAACAGCTTGAAAAAGCTGCTTAGAACTACGGCGTATGTCCTTCGTTTTCTGCGTATGCGAATCTTCCACCGCATTTCATCGTCGTCGCAGAAGCGTTTACAACATCTTGTACCGCAAGTGGCTCAGTAGAACATCAAAGGAAGCCTTACCACCGTTGAAATGACCGCCGCAGAGACATTGCTCATCTTAGCGCATTATCGCGAGGATGAACATATCCTGCAGCGTTTGCCATTGCATAAGTTCGACGTGCAGAAAGATCGCCTAGGGCTTCTCCGCTGTCCATTTCGCGTAGGTCAGGTCGCATCGGCGCCAGTCTTTATAATTCCACCTCATAGACTGGCTACGATTCTCGTTTGGCATCATCACCTGCAGTGTTATCATGCGGGAGTTTATTCCACCATAACCGCACTACGCACTAACTACTTCATTCCATCTATACATAGTCTAATCGCTAGAACTCTTCGCACATGTGTCGTCTGTAGGAAAGTTAGTGGCCACGCATACCGTTTACCGGAAATGCCAACTTTACCGGAAGAACGGACAACAAGATCTCGTCCGTTCCAGTACGTCGGTATCGACTATCTCGGCCCTTTGAGTTATCGCAGCGTCTATTCATCTGTTGAGAAGATCTGGGTATGCCTTATAACATGCATGGCTACCAGGGCAGTTCACCTTGAACTCGTTGTGAACAACACGGTTCAGGAATTTTTGCTAGCCTTTCGCAGATTTATAGCACGCAGAGGTACTCCAGACATCATCTACAGCGATAACGCAACTACGTTTCATGCCGCAGACGACGATTTATCAAACGTCGTATACGCTACAGGTTCTTGGCGTCAAGTCGCAGATTTCAGCGCTAACCATAAGATCACTTGGCGATTCATAACACCACTATCCCCCTGGAAAGAGGGTTTTACGAGCGCATGGTCCAGCTTTTTAAATCCGCTTTTCGTAAAGCAGTTGGTCGCACGCTGCTCATGTACGAGGAGTTCCAGACCGTCGTCGCAGAAATCGAGGCGGTCATAAACTCCCGTCCTATAACTCCCTTTCGGGAAGCGCAGTCGTCAGTTAGCGCATTAGGACCTATAAACTTTATTTCGCCGCAAGTTTCTCTGCAAGTACCACCTTCAGATCATTTGCAGAGCGAATCTGCAGCTACCGCGCACAAGCTCGGCTTGCGGTATAAGGAATCGCTTAAGGTCCTAGACCACTTTTGGCATCTTTGGCATACAGACTATCTTGCAGCGTTAAAAGAGCGTCATCAGCTGCGTATAAGACAACCTAAGTACGCCGCAGCGCCGCTTAACATCAATGACATTGTCATTATCGCTGATGAAAAGTTGCCTAGAAGTCATTGGCCATTAGGGCTTGTAGTAAAGATCCGTAGCGGCTCGTAGATGGTAAGTTTCGATCCGCAGATGTTCGCACATCCAGTGGGAAACTTCTCACGCGATCAATAGAGCATCTGCATCCTTTAGAGATTCAGGCGAAATGCATGTATCCATCAATTCGCACAGGCAGCAGAAAGATCTAACGCCGCCGCTGCCGCAGAGAACGCA